TATATATATATATATATATACACATAATACAACTATGTATATATAAGCTTATATAAATACAGATCTTTTTCTCCAGATGTAGAGATATATTTGCATGGATGTAGAGGTGATTAGATGAATATAAAGAAATATGCACAATTATTTACATGAGGATATGTGTATATTAATATGATATACATATAGAATGGAGGGAAATTGGATCTGGAGAGCTCATCTGATTAACCCCTGTCCCAAAACAAGATCAGCTATGCTTACACATCTCTGTATATGTCTATACACACATACACACTGATAGTAAGGTACATATCATGCCTATACATCTCATGGAAGACAACTATATAATATTATATGTAACATGCTCTTTTATACATAATATATATATATTATGCTTGTGTGCTGGAGAGATGTGTCTGTCAAACATACTAAATTACTCCCACTACCTTGTTATGGTAACCTAGGAGTGCTGGTCCAGAAACTGAGAGGGGCAAGGATTTCTTTTACTGGATTAACTGTGTAGTGTTAGACGTGCTTTCCAACATAAGACATTCTTCTTCACCTTGCATTCAAAAGCTTGCCTAACTCTATCCCAGCGACCCAGTTATCTAATAAAAGATGTCACCCTAAGACATCCTTTCCTTCCACTACCTTGGGCTGCTAAACTGCCTTAAGAGGTGCCTCCTTTCCAGCCAGGAGTCTGGGTCTCTTTGCTCTAAGGAAAACAAGCTGAAGTGTGAGAAAGCTGAGGGGAAAGTCACAACGTGTGTGCTGATGCCCTCAGCCCGCTGGAGAAGTCAGGCAAGCGCGGGGGCAGGAAGACTGAGGCGGTCTCCAGGGACCGGGCCACTTCTTCGGGGCTTTGCACCGGCCGCGGCGTCGGGGGCCCGGCACTACGGACTTTTCCGGCGGCTCTTTTGAGTTTCAAATGGGAGGCTCCATGGCCTTTGTTAAAGATATCCGTCCTTCCACCCAGATGCCCATCCCTAGCCCCACATCCCCCAGCATCCCTCCCCGCCCCCTCCACCTCCCTGTTTTGATCACTGCAGCCCTTCCTTCCGTCCTTGTGTCCCAGCGGCAGCCCCCCGCGACGCGGCTCCAGACTGAGCGTGGGCGCTTCGCCCTGCCGCAGGAGCCGGACCACTGCGACGCGCTGGGCCGCCCAGGGGCCACGAGATGCCCTCTTGAAGCTCGTCGGCGGTGCGACCGGGACCCAGGGGCACGTGATCGCTGGGGCAATGATCACTGGGGGCTCGGGAGGTCCTGGCTTCGAGAGAGTCATAAAGGTCTTCAGCACTGCCACCTGTCTTCGCTGCCAGTCTGTCTGCCTGCCTGCCCCGAGCATCCTAAGCCTCGCACCCGTCTCCATTTGCCCTATGACATCCTCAGCCTCGCACCCTTCCCCCTCTCCCTGCCTTGTGGGACCGGCCGGCCCCTGGAGCTCTCTGCGAGAGCCCGAGATGCCTCTTGCCCCCTGTCCCGGTGCGGGGAGGGTCTTTTCCCGGGGGAAGGACCGGGATCTGCCTCCCCAAGGGCCAGCAGGTAGCTGGCTGAACCCCCTACCCACCCAGCCCCAAGCAGGGAGGGACTCGGATCCGCCTGCGGCCCGGGCAGTCCCCCTCCTGTGGACTTGTTTAGCAACCCCAGAGGCGTTTTGAGGTAAAAAGGTCAGAGCTATACCCCGACTGCTCCCCTCCCCCGCCAAAGCACCGCGACTTTACAAGGAAGGGTCCCACCGCCGCGGACAAGCAGTCTGCCCCGGGCTGGGAGGAGAGGGGGGACCAGGATCAGGACACCCCCCCACACACACACACACTGCTTCGGGATAAGCAGCCGGTCCTGGGATCCAAAAATCCCTGCACCTGGGGTTTCTGCTCCAAGCAGCGGTGTCAGATCAGCCCCCCAAAGCCCCTCAAACCCTTTCCTCTTGCGGATGGATCTATTTCAGGGGCATTGCGAAAGTGTCTTAAAAATGCGAGTGGTGGCGGCCCTGTCCCTTTGGAAGTGGGGGGATGCTCGTCCTGGGCACCGCGGGACCTGATCCCGCCTCTGGTGGAGTCAAGAGGAGGCTAGAGGCAGGGAGGACACCGGGCCCATCGCTTGAAAGCCTTAACAAGAACAAGAAGCCCCCTGGCTTCCCCCTCCCTCACAACGCCTTCCCCCACAACCCCAGCCCCGCGCCCTTGCTGGGGGTGAGAGATTTCCCATGCCACTTAAACCAACAGGACTAGGGGATGAAAAAAGTAAACTTTATTAGTCTTGAGGTAGCTTCATTTCAAAATACAGAGCAGAAAAGAGCGGTGAGAGGGAAATCCCGATAGAAAACACTAGTTCTTTTCCCTCGCTGTCATTTTCTCCTTAAAAAAAAAGAATACATCTAAAAGAAACTCAACTCTGTTCCTCCCCCCCCCCAAGTTTTTAGATTTGTTTTATCCTAAAGCTTGTTGCAGGGGAGAAAAAACGGTTTTTATTTTCTAGGGTTAAATAGCATTTTGATCGGCCTCGCTCAAATCTGAAGGGGGGCGGGGGAGGGATTCCTGTGCTACTTTCCTTTAAGAATTAAGGCTCTTAAACATATAATAAATATATTTTAACCCATCAGTAGAAATGGGCAGGCCGATAGCTCATAAAGGTCCACTCTGCAGCTTTTTGGGAGCTTCCACACTCCCGGACAGAACAGACTACAACGAGTACCCTGAGGTCAAACTTCTTCTTGGCTGGGGTGTGTGTGTATAACGCAAGGCATCTGAACAGCGTGTGAACCCTGTAAGACAGCAATAGTGCAAAAGGAGAGGGGAGGATTTGTGTGTGTGTGTTTCTGTGTCTGTTTGCAAAGGCCTCTCCATTATTAATAATATCTAGATCTCACTCCAACATATACACAATTTAAAGGGCGGGGGGGACTTTTTACAATCCTATGGGAGGAAAAGCCACGAAAAAAAATTACATCAAGCAACATCTTGCAGACAAAAGTCATTGTGCACCATTTTGTTTGAATGGGGATAGCTAAATTCGCTTCTGAGTTTCTCTGGTTGAAAGTGCAGCCCCCAAGTATCTGGGGGGGGGGAACGTCCCTGAGACGAACGGGTCAGGCTAAGAAATGTCCGGCAAAAACACAGCCGCTCCTTTGGAGGTCCAGATGCTTGCAGAATGGTCTCATAAATTAAGAGAAGGGAAGAGAGAAGGAAAAAAAAAGCAGGCAGGATGATTTGACATCACACTTAAGTGAAGCAGTTCTTGCAAAAAAAAGGCACCAGTCGGAGCAGTGTGCGTGTGTGTGTCTGTTCCCTACTTTACACAGATCTGTGAGCTCTTCTGCTTGGCATGGAGCAGCTGCCTCTGGAAGGCGGACAAAGTGGCGTGCGGGGACCGTGTCTTCCTGCTCCTCCTCGGCGTCCTTTCAGGAGGACACCGAGTTGGGAGAGGCCTCAGGTGAAGTGGAGCTGGACTGGTCCGAGGCTTCCCCCGCTTCCTTGGCAGCCCTGGGGGGCGCCGCGGGGGCGAGTCCTTCCTTCTCCCTCTTCTTCTGCTTCATCCTCCTGTTCTGGAACCAGATCTTGACCTGGGTCTCGTTGAGCTCCAGGGTGGCGGCGATCTCCACCCGCCGGGCCCGCGTCAGGTACTTGTTGAAGTGGAACTCCTTCTCCAGCTCCGTCAGCTGCTTGGTGGTGAAGTTGGTCCGGATGGTGTTGGCCTGGCCGACCACCCCGTACTTGGACACTTTAGCTGTGAAGGAGCCAAGGACACACGACAAGGAAGCAGCAGCCGCGCGTAACTCACTCCTTACAGCCAAGGGGGGGGGGGGGG